TGCTTGCCGTAAAAGGTGACTATGCTTGTCGTAAAAGGCGACTGATGGGATCGGGTGGTCAGGCTCGCTGACTTGGTTGATGCATGTCATCGATCCCAATTGCGTGGATCAATGCTCATGATGTCAATCACTGGATTGTCTGGTCCAGACTCGATTATTTACAGACCGCCGTCATAAAGCTGGAATATTGTTGAGTGCGGCGTTAAACAACAAACAAACACACAAACAAACTATATTTAGTGCTGTCCTTTTCAACATGATGACTTATGCTGAATGTGACCACAGATATTTTCAAGCAAGTGACATTTAGTGCGGAACTGGGGGTAGTGTGTTTAGCTTTCTGTACTCGGAAAAGGAGCTGGCTAAGGTAGTCATTTTTTTTGTTTTTATTGCTGCTGTGAGGCCAAACTGTGCACACAAGTGTATTTATTAAATGCCCGCTGAATGCTTAGTTATTTAAAAATATATATAACGATACTGTAGACATTTGTATATGTGTAACCTATATCATATTAAATCGAGCCCTGACTGTGAACTGTTTAAACTTGCAAACCCCTTTCATTATCTAACACGACACCTATCTGTTATGATATATTGTATATTTCATTTTCACACTTTTGTGTTTTAACAATAAAGACATTTGCGAAGGCTACCTTTTGGAATATTGAGGGAGTCTAATATATGACGGAAAAGGAAAAGGAGTGGCTAGAGCAAAGGAAGGGTGCTAATGCTAATGTACTGGTAAAGACGTTTCATCCAAACCAGGTACATGTATTAACCAGGGTGCACTTTGTTATTTAGCACTTTTTCGAAATTAGATTTTTTCGCAGTTCCCATGGAAACAAGTTAGACTTAGCTGAAACATTGGTAGGTGTCGTTTAGGAGCATAACTACAAAACTTTTCAACATTTTTCATCTAAACATGGTTCATGTATTAATCAAGGGCTGAAGTTGTGCCTTTTGTTATTAAGGAATTTTAAAAACAAATCCTGTTTCCATGGCGACAAGTTTGACTTGGACTATTAGGTATTCGTTTCATGGAATTTTACACACACAAAGACCAGGTTGTCAAATGGTGCCTTTTACGTAGAGATATGTAGAATTGATTTTGTTTCTGTTTCCATGGTAACAAGTTTGATTTGACTCTGTTTATATTATAGTGTACCTGACATAGAAATACAAAGTTCCGAATCCAAATTCCATGGTATGGTTTTGATAGCTCAATAACTAATCATGTACATAGACAGACAAATTAGATAGAAGTTCACTCAGGAAGTTGGACTTAAAGTAACACTGAGATGATTTGTTCTTTCGAACTTTACGGGGTTGTGTGTGTGTGGGGGGGTGGGGGGTGGGGGGGGGGGGGGGGTGATCTTCTGATGACTCTTGTTTATTAATGTAGCAAGAGGGATGGGAGGGGTGGTTAAAGTGTTCGCTTGTCACGTCAAGGATCCGGTTCGATTCCCCACATGGGTACAATGTGTGAAATCCATTTCTGGTGTGCCCTGCCTGAAATTGCTGGAACATTGCTAAAATCGACGTAAAACAATACTCACTCACTCTCCTAATAATGATATTATTTGAATATGTTGCTTGTAAACAAACTACAACAGATGTTCCTGTAAAGCAGCTTGAGCATACATGTCCCCTCTCTCAACCATTGGAAGACACACACTTATTTAATAATACACAGCAACTATTGGGTGACATATGTATATAATACTGTATTCGACATAATAAGCGCCCATTAGGTCAAATACGGTACATTAAAAAAACCAACTTTGAGTGACTTTGAATCACGATAATGGACCACTGAAAACCATTGGTGACACAGGGTGTTTACGAAATGAGTAAGAAAGTATTTGATAACAGCATTAAAACTATTTATAAACGTGCAGTCAGCTCCAATTATGTACCAAGTCACGTTGCAGGTGCTCATACGTTTCTGACTTAAGTACGAACGTCAATAGATATGGTGACAGCTTGTCCTCTCGTTACTGCGTTTGGGTGGATATAAATTGGGGGCAAACGAAACTATACCCCTCAGTTGATTGATCATATCATTTTTAATTGAATATGTCTTGTTAGCGAGTCCAAACAATTGTTTTAGCACGCAAAAAGTACTTCTGCATGCTTTTTATTTAAAAAAAATATAATATGATTTAAAAAAAAATAAAAAATAAAAAAACACATATTCGCATAATACATAACAGCTGATTGGTATTTTAGATATCTTTAAAAATAGTTACATTTGCTTTTTTCGGGACACATTTACATTTCAAGTATGGTAGGTGTTTTGTTATTGAAAATCTATTTCTAACCACACTCTTCATTGAAACAGTTCATGTTGACACAAAGGTACCCAGCCAAAGATGACCTTTTTCGAATTGTTGCTGGAATGATTTATGGTGCATTTGTTTTCATTTTTTTATTACATAAAAAGCTTCTCTGCTAATGTTAAACTTGGCATGACAGACAAACTTGGGCCGTCATTTGATTTCATGAGATATCGAGGACAAATCGAGGACTGCTATCACGTTTTCTCTCGTCCAGTGGCAACCTGTGGAAAATCGACCACCAGTTATTAATGTTAAAGTAAACAGCATCCAGTCACCCAACATAGCTTGAAATCTAGGGACGTTATCTACGACACGTTCAACCACCACACCCTTCTCTGTCGGCACCGCCCCCCTCGGCTACGTCACCCACATAGAACGACAGACAGCGATGGAGGTGAGGTGAAATTGGGTTTAACGTCGCGTCCAAGATAATTGCACTTATATAGCGACGTGCATGCACGTGTATGTGTGTGTGTGGCTGCTTGTACTAGTCCGGACTGATGCCGATTTATAGTGCTAGCCCACTGAGATACCATGCCGCAGTTTAACATGAATACCCCACTCAGACACAGTATACTGACTCCGAGCCGACCAGTCCTTGTTTTAGCCCCTTAATGCCGAGCGCCAGGCAGGGTAACAACAAGTACCATCTTTTAACGTCTTTTGGTATGACGCGGCCGGGGATCGAACCCCGGACCTTCCGCTCTCCGGGTGGGACAACGATGGAGTGGGGATAGAGCATGACAGCACAACACAGCAAATACCGCCTGATCCCTCCGCATATAGTTCGTACAACATGGCGAATTTGAAGAACGTTGTCATTCGTCACCACTCGCCCCTTTTCGTCACCTGCAAGAAGACTCGTCCCCCTATCGATGAATGTTATGTGCGTAAATACGACAAACCAATCAGAATGCGCGTATGATTTCAAGTTCTTCGTCAAAGAATCCCTCAGAAATAATTTTTGATTTCAAACATGTCTTGCATTTAAAAATATACCCAAGACACAGTTAAATGTGTTTAATCATACTGTATAATTCCGCATGTCCAGATGAGCTTTAAATTGCATCTGAAATATATGGAGAAATATATGTGAACCACTACGCAACGAGTTGACAATTGTTTTAGGTATGCCCGTTTGCGTTAAGACGGAACCCGGTCGCAAAAATGGCCACGAGAGGGGCACGAGTCGCTCTTCGGCTTGTCCCGGGATAACACGAGTTGGCCACGAATGGAACGTTGTTTTAGGTCATAGAAATTAGCTCCACAATTTGAAATGCATAAGGGCACGACTAAATTGTTGCCAATATGGTAGTCATGTGAACGGACAAAACCAGTAAATCTAGTTTCAATATTGATTCATCCCGGGTGCGGCCGAGATTACCACTGGTGTGTAGGTGAGACTAGGTCAATGTTCACTGGGGGTGTTGAACTGTATATCGCCCTCTATAAGTTAGTCCTTGGTAAACACGAACAGAGATAAACTCACTTCAAGCCCTGGTACTGTTTCAGGACTTAAGTAAGAAATTATGACTTCAATGATTCTGAAGTTGGTGTCAGTGCTTTGATAAAGTAAACAAGTACATTTAAACTTCTTAAACGGAAAGCCCCACCCCAAGAACGATCTTATTGAGGAGTAGCTATATATTGGAGGAACATCACTCCCTATCCATGAGTCGTTAATCAGAACGAAGAGAGAGGGAGAGAGAGAGAGAGAGAGAAGGAGAGAGAGAGAGAGAGAGAGAGAGAGAGAGAATCTGTCTGTCTATATATGTATGTATGTATGTATGTATGTATGTATATATATATATATATATATATATATATATACATTGAAGGCGTTTGGGGGACCTTTAACGAATTCTGGAAAAAGGAGATATAAAGGCACACATAATTAGGGATTTTTCACCCAAAAAGTTCATCCTTTAGCTGTTCTCAAACTGCTCAAGCCAAGAAATCCCCCATCAACATCAGTAATTATCAAAAGATATAAATTATCCATATGAAGACAACTTCAAAATACATGACAGCATGATAGTTCCAATATTGTGTTATGGTGTTGAAATCTGGGGAAGTTCCTGTAACAAGTTTACTCCACAAAAGATTGAAAGATTTCAAAGACTCAATAAGAATACTCCTAATGATATGATTCTTGGAGGCCTCCTATACAACAAGACAAGAGCAATAAAATAAAATACTGTACTACATTATTTCGCCGATGGCCTCTCTCTCTCTCTCTCTCTCTCTCTCTCTCTCTCTCTCTCTCTCTCTCTCTCTCTCTTATATATATATATATATATATATATATATATATATATATATATATATGACAGCATGACATATATATAGACACACAGGTTGTTGTCATGACTCTGTATTGCGCTCTGTCGACACACCTAGCATTGCGACACACTGTTATCTTTGAAGCACTAGGCCGGTGTCTTGGCAAAGACGTATCCAGATAGAACTAAATCCTTCCGTAAATCAAACAAAGAAATTCATTTAGCCACCTATTAGATCTTACAAGACAATGGTTTTATTGTTTTATCTGTATAACTGTTTTTATGTATAACATGGATAGTGAACTGCTGTAATATAAAACAAAGGATTCTACTTATCCTCTGCAGTTTGGTTATAATGGTGGACATTTTTAATGGGGGTTCGTTTTTCCTGTTACACCGGTCAGTACATAACGTTTGGCGGGTGCCGTGGGTATTACTTCTTACTGGGCCAACGTTCGCATAGCAAGTCATCAAGTCTGGATAAAATGTCTGCCACCAAAGTTCTTGGGGTTTCGCTGGTCTGTTTGGTTCTATACAGTAAGTTCATTTTTTATCATGTATTCGTCTGGCTGAATATTTATCGATATGTGATTAGCCTAGTTTTTGAGAGGCCATACTGATAATACAAGAGAAAACGTCCCATTTTCAACTTCTAAAAGTGAAGTTCATCTGGATTCGACCATTTTATATCCGCATTGACTGATACTTGTCATGTGATGCGCGTGCATGGCTAAACCACACGCGTGTGTTTTGGATAGCTGTTCGTAAATACGTTGGTGACCCATCAATAATAAAGATGAGTAAACTTCAAAACGTTTGAAGCGGCAGAAAATGTTAAACTTAAACATGGGCCACACAAATTATAAAATATAATTTTCAATCATAAAATAAAATATTAAAATTATAAAGGTCAATTTTGACGAATTTCAGTCCTTAATCCTACACTAGAGATATATAGTGCATTTGGCCTGAAGACAATACCAGATAGTGTTTCGATCTTTGTGTATCATTGAGGAAGTGGTTTGGGTTACTTTAGGCAAACATATTGCACGTTATGAAATACTAAGTTATATAAATGTAGGTGTTTCATTGTTTCTCATCGGTCAAATTCATCTTTATATTTATTGAGAATTATCAGCTACGTGGTGGAATTGTTTTCATCATACTTACGTTATGAATATAACGCGTTTGTATATTTTCACAATTCAACTTTTTAAATGGAGCGAAACAGCCATATACGCCCGAAATATCGGATGGAAACGCCTCGCACTATAGGCGAGTGTTAACTTAACGCTCTGTATAATCAGACCTTTAGGGTTTAAATTGTGGGTCACATAGTTTGATAAAGACAATATAGAAAACTTTACCTGCCGATTGTCACTTCGGTAAAGTAAATTAATTTGTAACCATTTTTCTTTTAGTCGGCTTTTCCTAAATCAGTTTGTGTTTTTCTCTTTGGTCTACTATGCAAACGATGGGAAACATCAAATCTAAAAGATGCTACGTTACAGAGAAATGACACAAATGTCCCACGTACCAGGGTAGGATGGGATGTCTTCCCGCGACTCTCTGAATGACAATGTGAGGTTGCGTTACTAACCTGGAACAGACGCGCTTATCGGGTCATCAGTTTCCTCAGCAACGCACAGATTATCATAGTATTTCTACATGTTGATAGAGCTCAAGCATTATCCTGACCTTTGTTGCAAACAATGCAGGGCGTAGTGTTTATTTTTGCGCGGCAATACCTTAGTTTCCCGATTATGTACTTGTGTGCGGATTTTGCTAGTTAACTTAAATGACAATCGTAGTACACTGTATTAAATGTATTCAGACCCTAACACAAACGTTGGTTGGTTGGTTGGTTGGTTGGTTGGTTTGTTGTTTAACGCCGCACTCAGCAATAGTCCAGCTATATGACAGCGGTCTGTAAATAATCGAGTCTGGACAATCCAGTGATTAATATCATGAACATCGATCCACGCAATTGGGATCGATGAAGTGCATCAACCAAGTCAGCGAGCCTGACCACCCGATCCCGTCAGTCGCCTTTTTCGACAAGCATAGTCACCTTTTACGGCAAGCATGGGTAGCTGAAGACCTGTTCTATCCCGGAATCTTCACGGGTCTAAACACAAACGTAAACACGTCCTATTTCCCATAATTTTGTACTTAAACATGATAAAATTCTTAACATTTTTAGATTATAGGGTGTTTAGGTGGTGTTTGGGCTGAGATATTAGCTCATTCCACGTGTTTAGACTCTAAACGTGTTTAAATACAAAACCCCATGTGTAAAATTATTTCGCGCCTATTATTATGCAAAGACCATAGTTTACCTAATGCAGACCGCTTAGTTGACGTAATGTTTATGACGTCACATCGTCTCACCGCTGACGTCATGTTTGCTGCAGGAACCACTGTCGTGTGGGAAAACAGCAATAACCATAATCTCACTTATAAATACATGCGACCCGTGAAGATCCGGGGTAGAATAGGTCTTCAGCAACCCATACTTGCCGTAAGAGGCGACTTTGCTTGTCGTAAAAGGCGACTAACGGGATCGGGTGGTCAGGCTCGCTGACTTGGTTGATGCTACATGTCATCGATCCCAAATGCGTGAATCGATGCTCATGATGTCAATCACTTGATTGTCTGGTCCAGACTCGATTATTTACAGACCGCCGTCATATAGCTGGAATATTGCTGAGTGCGGCGTTAAACAACAAACAAACAACAAACAAAACTTATACATGCCTCATCTCTCGATTGCATCTGGAACAAGGTCATGATCAATAGCTGCTTAAATACATGAGAACGGTTGTTTGTCTTTCAGGTGCACGGTGTATGCTACTATATGTAGCCGCTCGTAGTCACCTGATTGCCGATCGTAACCCTAACCATGCCGATGTGACGTTAAATATTAACTCACTCACTCACTCACTCACCTAACCCTAACCCCTAACCTTAAAACTCAATGATGATGTTTATCGCTAGCAAAATGGATATTTCTTAAAAACGCACTTAGCAATTTTTGGCATGACTGTAAGTCCTATTCTTTATCGCCAGAATGGTTTGTTTTCACTTAATAGGTTTCAGCACTCATGCAGCTACATACGTATGATAAACCCGTCCTTTCGTATTCTGTTGGTTGTTGTTGGACGAAACAATGAATTCAGGGTATTACACACTCACAGGAAGAATCTTGTCAGACAATAGATCCCACCACCCTCGCTCTCCCCTTGATGAAAACAGGGCATTCCACAGTTTCCTTTAACGAGCCAATGATGGGGGGACATAATCTCAATGTCAATGTTGATTTAACTGATGGTTTTGTACTGATGGACGGTACAGAAATGAGTGTCATCTGAGCGAAGTGCCATATCAAATCGGCCCAGACTCAGTTTTTCAAGGAGAGGCTATCTGAACAACCACTGCATCGAGTTTATGTGCAGTGTGTTGAGAAGATCAGCAACCCCGCGGAGCCCTTCGTTTGGATGAGGTCGGCTGGCCTGAAAAGTGAAACAGAAGGCTTTCTGTTTGCTGCTCAGGATCAATCACTTCCCACTCGAAACCGTCAATGTGCAATTTTGCATCAAACTGTAAATATGAAATGTAGAGTATGCATTGAATTTAATGAGACAGACAAACACATTGTCCGTTGATGCCCAGCTTTGGCACACAGTATCTTAAGCGACATGGTGGAGTGGCTCGATTCTTATATAACCGTCTTCACCGTGATTGTGGTTTCGACAGAGAGGTCCATCCACGGTACGACCTAGAGGGGGGCACGAAAAATGATAAATACAAAATTGTTTGGCATAGGCCGGCATATGGCCTCAGACCTGTCCTGGTCAACAAACATGTCCTTGTCCTTTTTTCATAAACCCAATGAAATAATTTATATCATTGAAACATTTTCCCTTTTGACACTAATGTGATTGATAAGATTCAGGAAAAAACACAGTAAATATGCGGACCTCGCTTTCGAAATTTCACGCTTGCATCCCAAGAACCAAGTTGTCAGACTCCCCATTTTTCTCTTTGTCTTAGGTTTGGTACCTCCCAATCTGTTGCTTGATATTGGCAGAGTATCCGGGCGATACGGGCGTTGTCATTCAGTCATTCAAAGTGTGTTTTATCTTCATCTTGAAATTTGTTGTGCTTATTGAGTCGACATGCATTGTCACGTGACACATCATGTAAGTGCTTTCTTGCAAAAGTGTTTCACACGGTTGATGTTTCGAATAAGTGGTATCTTGTGTTTTTCAGTTGCAGCCGTAGATGCAGATTGTGGAACTTTATCGAAGATCAAGCTTGGAGCATGCGTGGCGACTTATTCAACGGCCAATGTTCTTAACCTTAGCGAGCGCAAGAGGCGTATCAACGCTGGCAACACAGCCTGCCCCACTGAAATCCTCAAGGACAGCTGCACGTAGGTCAATGTGAAACATGGGGCGGCGGGGTACCCTCTTGGATAAAATGCCCCCTCCTACAAATTAGGGCAGCCGGTCGTCAAAGGCGCCGCAATTCGCTGTGGAGAGTTGCGTCCCCTTGGACCCCGGTTCGTCCCTATTAAGTTTCCAGCTTTGTCAGCATCATCATCGTGGGTTTCACCGAAGTGGTAAACGTCCAAGACCTACATCACTTCGGGCTTTCCTCCCACATCAAGCTGACACGCCGTGATATAACTGGAATTCTGTTCATAAACGAAATTCATTCATTCACTCCTGAAGGCGAATGTGATCAAAGTAATTGACTTGTATCAACTCACAGTCGTTTCTTATCTCAAAATCTGCAAAATCTTAACACACGCAGGTCAGAGAGAATTTACGACGTCCATAAAGATAACTGGTGAGAAATAAGGTCAAGGTCAAGGTCACCTGCTCCATTAGTTACCGAGAGTGACATGCTAACGCAACACACGTACAAAATGTACTACGCAGAGAAATTCACAATAGCGCATATATTCTCTTGGTATTAGTATTGTTCTGGACAACTGGGCAACCCGTGCTTCCTATATACAAGGGGCGGTTGGGTAGCCTAGTGGTTAAAGCGTTCGCTCGTCACGCCGAAGACCCGGGTTCGATTCCCGACATTGGTACAATGTGTGAAGCCCATTTCTTACAGTCCCCCGCCGTGATATTGCTGGAATATTGCTAAAAGCGGCGTAAAACCAAACTCACTCACTCACTCACTCACTCCTATATACAAAGAGATACAATGTTTTTGATGCAACATAGAAGATGCACACATCAGGTATAAACAGTTTATTTGTAATGCCTTCGTGTAAATTAACTCATTCTGAGTGTGACAATATTTACGTTCTGAAGTTAATTTACGTTAATGACGTCTTTGAACGTAAACGAAACCAAGCCTTTTTTGTTTTTTTTAGAATTTTTTAAATTCATTTGCATTCTAATTTATTCATGTGATCATCAGAAACCATTAAGCAGGCCAAACAAACGCGTGGAACGTCTTCAGGAGCTTTAAAATGTTTAATGACACTTTATGGATTCATTTGAATAAGGCAGTCGGATGTATCATCGCAAATTATTTGTGATCATCAAAGAAGAAATAAACACAATCTCATTAAAATCATATCTTTGTTCTCGCTACCGCTAAACAAAGATCTGAGGACATCCCATTAGGGGTCACGTCAGACCGACCTTGCGCGAACTTTGACCGACCAATGGAATGACCAATCAGAAGGCAGCTTTCTCGTGCTTCACGGCACTAATTTCAAATTGGCGACTACGCTTCGAAACATATTTTGACAAATTCTCGATAAGAAATTTGAAACCTGAACAAAAAAACATTCTGGAATGGCTAATAGATGGTCTAGATTGTAAGGATTTAGTCGTTAAACCCGTAACTATCGTTCGGAATACCCCATGTTAAAGTATTCGAGGTTACATGATTAGAAATCACATTCCGACTGTCACTTTCATAATCTGGTAAGCGACGCTCTGATTGGTCGGATGAAAGGTCGTTCTGACGTGACCCCTAATGGGGTGTCTTCGGATCTTTGTTTAGCGGTAGCGAGAACTAAGGTCTGATTTTAATGAGATTGGAAATAAACATGTCCTGTTTTTTCCCCCAGATCCTACCATGCCATGAAGGGGTGTGTCGAGCTTGGTGGCTTCCCTACAGGGTGTGAAGCGGCCTACGACAAAAAAATCAGTAAGCATGTGTAACTTCCCTTTGCACGCCTCTCACTCTGTCCCGTGAAGATCCGGGGTAGAATAGGTCTTCAGCAACCCGTGCTTGTCGTATAAAAGGCAACTATGCTTGTCGTAAAAGGCGACAAACAGGATCGGATGGTCAGGTTCGTTGACCAGATTGATGCATGTCATCGTATCCCAATTGCGTAGATCGATGTTCATAGTGTCAATCACTGGATTGTCTGGTCCAGTCCGCCATCAAAAAGCTGGAATATCGCTGATTGCGGCGTTAAACAACAAACAAACAAACAAACAACAACTAACATTTCAATTCGCTTCATGTCCACGGTCATTTATCAAGATCAGCGATGGCAATAAAATACCAATTCCTATCTTGAGACCATTGTCACTTGAGAAATGTTTTGAATATTTCATGCACTGAATATATCATAACGCAACGATATCGAAAGTTTCCAAGTTATTCCATTGGTTGGATACATGTTACCTTGGACTGCCTCCGTGGTCTAGTGGTAGAGCGTCCACCCGGACAGCGGAAGGTCCGGGGTTCGATCCCCAACCGCGTCATACCAAAAGACGTTAAAAGATGGTACTTGTTGTTACCCTGCCTGGTGCTCGGCATTAAGGGGCTAAAACAAGGACTGGTCAGCTCGGAGTCAGTATACTGTGTCTGAGTGGGGTATTCATGTTAAACTGCGGCATGGTATCTCAGTCTGCTAGCACTATAAATCGACATCAGTCCGGACTAGTACAAGCAGCCACATACACGTCGCTATATAAGTGCAATAATCTTGGACGCGACGTTAAACCCCATTTCATTTCACCATGTTACTGTGTGTGGTATCGTATATGCAGGTTTCATGATTTCTTACCTTTTGTGATTGCAGGTGAACAAGACATTATGTGCACAAACAGTGAGCTCTACAACTTGTGTGGAGGTATGTGTACCAGGAAATAATTGGAAACGAATTTCTTAAGGATTCTGTATTGGTAACTTATATAGGTTCTCTTTTTGCGGACCGCCTCCGTGGTCTAGTGGTAGAGCGTCCACCCGGAGAGCGGAAGGTCCGGGGTTCAATCCCCGGCCGCGTCATACCAAAAGACGTTAAAAGATGGTACTTGTTGTTACCCTGTCTGGCGCTCGGCATTAAGGGGCTAAAACAAGGACTGGTCGGCTCGGAGTCAGTATACTGTGTCTGAGTGGGGTATTCATGTTAAACTGCGGCATGGTATCTCAATGGGCTAGCACTATAAATCGGCATCAGTCCGGACTAGTACAAGCAGCCACACACACACACACACACACACACGTGCATGCGCGTCGTTATATAAGTGCAATAATCTTGGACGCGACGTTAAACCCAATTTCACCTCAACTCACCTCTTTTTGTGCGTGAACCTTTGACGGTCTGGAAGAAAGATGTCTACTCACCTTTTTTCAGATTTTACTTGCGCTTCTAGTTAATTGTACATTCGCACACGCCGTGAAATTGATAGACGAGTTCTAATAACATATCACTTTATTTCTTCACTTCCTTGTGTTTGCAGGTGCCACTGCATTGATGACTAGCTTCACTCTGCTCATCACATGTCTTATCACCATTTTCAACTTGTAACTTGCTGAAGAAAATCAGGTACGGTTCTGAAATTTGGCGTATGAATACTATCATACGTGGAGAATAGTTCCCCACTGCATGCAGTACTCGGTACGGTTGGGGCGGTTGGGTGCTGATGTTTGTTAGAGACAAACTGTTGTGTTTTGGTCAAAATACATCTTTATACGTGGGTGGAGGAGCGCATTTGTTTCGTACAGTTCTTTATGTTTTCCTATATATATATTTTTTTATTTTTTTTATTATTATTTTTTATTATTATTATTATTTTTTTTTTTTTTTTTTTGGGGGGGGTATACTGAATACTGACTAATCCTTACATACCTCATTAATTTGCAGAATGTTCCAGAGTCCATCGCGAACAAGGCTTACTAAGGCTCCAGAAGAGGAGCACCGCACTTAACATTACATATATTTTGATGCACCAGCATTGAACGTACTTTTTATTATTAAAAATTTAAAGTAACTACTTGTTCCATCCTTTAGGAAACCGATGTAGATTTCTTGTTTGGTGAGAGAGAAATGAAGCTGATAAAGTCCATCCAAGATTGCCGTTAACGATGTAGAAGGTAACTAAGGCGCCACATCATTGGTCTAAGGCGCCGCATCATTGGTCTAAGGCGCCGCATCATATATAAAGCCCCGTCCCATTGATCTAGGGCATGGCAACATTGTTATGAAGGGGCCACATTAATGATTTAAAGCGCCCTGTCATTGGTATGAGGGACCGTATCATTGGTCTGAGGCGCCTCATCATCGGCCCAAGCGCTGGACCATTGGTCCGCGGCGGCGGTCGGGTAGCCTAGTGGTTAAAGCGTTTGCTCGTCACGCTGAAGACCCGGGGTCGATTCCCGACATGGGTACAATGTGTATAGCACATTTCTGGTGTCCCCCGCCGTGATATTGCTAAAATAATGCTAAAAGCGGCGAAAAAACATACTCACTCACTCACACACCCATCGATCCACACGTAGCATCGTCGGTCTAGAGCGCCGTCTGTTTGGTCTAAGAAGCGCATCCTTGATAGCTTCTATCAATCGTGTGTACGTATTCCGTTGTTTGTTTCTGGTTTAACGCCGTACTCAGCGATATTCCAACAATATGACGGCGGTCTGTAAATAATCGATTCTGGACCAGACAATCGAGTGATTGACATCATCAACATGGATCCACACAGTTATCGCGTAAGTCGCCCCTAACGACAAGCATGGGTTGCCAAAGGCCAATTCTAACCTGGATCTTCACTGGTGTCGAATTCTGAACAGATCCAGATTAAGTTTTCCGGACTGTTAACACCATAAATGGGCTCTTTGGTTACACAAAATGGTTATAGTTTAAACTGAGTCTCTTAGGTCTTCCACTTTATGTCGGGGGACACGGATGGAGAGTTGCGTCCCTTGGGCACGCCAGAAACCTATGATTGTGGGTTCGAATCCCGGTTCGCCCCGATTATGTTTCTAGGTTTGTCAGCACCATACCCGTGCTCGTGGGTTTCACCGAAGAGGTAAAGGTCTGAGACCTGCATCACTTCGGTCTTTCCTCCCACATTAAGCTGACACGCCGCGATGTAACAGGAATACTGTTAAAAGCGGCGTTAAACTCACTCACTCACTCACTTTATGTCGACATGCCTAGAGATAAAGAGGCCACAAGGGTAATAAGATTTACAGATTGTTTTCTGTATTTGTTTTTTGTTTAACGTTGGTTTGTTGCGCCGCACTCAGCAATATTCCAGCTACATGACGGCGGTCTGTAAATAATCGAGTCTGGACCAGACAATTCAGTGATTTACATCATGTACATCGATCCACGCAATTGGGATCGATGACATGCATCAACCAAGTCAGCGAGCCTGACCACCCGATCCCGTTAGTCGCCTTTTACGACAAGCATAGTCGCCTTTTACGGCAAGCATGAGTTGCTGAAGACCTATTCTATCCCAGATCTTCACGGGTCTACTGCTTTGGAGAAACATCCGATCAATCATGCTGCCGAAGGACCAATGGTTAGTATCAGTTCCAAGCTGGGATCCAAGACGAGAGGATCCAGACACGGCTAAAGGGACGCAAATCTGCATAGCGTATTGTTGTGCGTCCGCCGAGTTGGCCTCGGTTCGCTGTCTTTGGGAAGCTTGAGGTAATGCTACTTCAGAACACCTAGTGACCACACACCCTGAAACAATATAGCATTCAATAAATACAGCTTCATACAATATACTTTAGGCTTCAAAACAATCCGGGGCGGTCGGGTAGCCTAGTGGTTAAAGCGTTCGCTCGTCACGCCGAAGACCCGGGTTCGATTCCCGACATGGGAACAATGTGTGAAGCCCATTTCTGGTGTCCCACGCCGTGATATTGCTGGAATATTGCTAAAAGCGGCGTAAAACAATACTCACTCACACACTCACCCAAAACAATCCATGCATGAGGATGCATGTCATCGATCCCAAATTGCGGGGATCGATGCTCATGATATTAATCACTGGATTGTCTGGTCCAGACACGATTATTTACCGACCGCCGTCATATAGCTTGAATATTGCTGAATTTGGCGTTTAACAACAGAATTAGGTGAACTACAAATGAGAGATTACATGACAATTAACAACAAGGGGCGATAACTCATTGATTGACGCCATACATAAAAGTCAAATAGACGTAATACACATGTCATATGAAATGTATGTGATACCCAGTTTCCCATAAACATATACTAGAATACAAAAAAACATTCCTATCCGGTGTTTGGCACTAAAGTACTCACGGAAATGTAAAAAACCTCTTTTTCTCAATTTTAAAATCGACACAAAGTGTTACGTAGCTGTAAATATGAAATAACAAAACAACTCGAAAAGTACTAGTCTGGATTTGCTAGTTTGATCTCAGTAAACCATACAAAATGTACTTTACAGGAGGTAATATGTCGGCACTTTCAACATTCAAAAATAAAACTAAGTCAAAATTGACATAGCAGAAAGAGACTATAAGCATAATGCACCTCATAGGTCACCTTGATCTACTTACACCTGGTTATGCCCTGTTTCACAATAGTCTGTTTTATTCACATTTTTACACACTTTTACTTGTAAAAAGGCATAAAAACCTTTGATACGCTCTATTTGTGCCACGGCCCAATTAGTACTAATTTAGTTGTTTGAATATTTACATATTTTGTATATTAACTGCATTTATTTAAGATCTGAGGTAATAAAAACAGGGTTTTTTTCATTTCCGTGAGTACTTTACGGTGTAGACGTTAGCGCCGCCAAACCAGATGTGTCAAGCGTACCTCAAATCTGTGTAAACAAGATACAACATTAATTCTGCAGTAACTTCAAATCAATATAAATCTATTATCATTACAAACGCATCGAACACTAGGCTTAGGCTAAAACCACATTCATACTTACATTGACATAAACACTATTCTTTCTTCCATACCTGAAATCAGTCAATCAAACGTGTTCAAACATGCATCTATTTACGCCTTGGGAAAATAGGTCAGGAGGTTTAGAGCCTAAAGTCGGGGAACGCAAAACAGATTGCAACAGAAACAAATAATTTTGTTTCTAAGTCAAAAATACATGAGTGTTCACATACTAAAAGTCTTAAGATATTTTAGGAGGGGAAAATATCAAAATTAAGGTTAATTATGAACATACCAATATTTAAAAAAACAACATGAACTATCTTTTTTAAAATAAAATACTTGAATGAATTAGATGAGCCATTTGATAATTTATATATCTAATTCACTAAAACCTGACTGAAGTATTATCTACACTTAGGTTGGATTTACCATCATTAAGGTTTAATGTACTGGTTATATCTATACACAAACAGTACAAAATGAGCATGTAAAGGTGCACACACGTATAAACCAGACAATCCAGTGATTGACAACATGAGCATCGATCCGCGCATTTGGGATACGATGACATGCATCAACCAAGTCAGCGAGCCTGACCACCCGATCCCGTTAGTCGCCTCTTACGGCAAGCGTGGGTTGCTGAACAGCTATTCTAACCCGGGTATCTTGTACACACCACTGAACAATACGTACAGCGTAATATCTTGCCAAGAACCCCAAACAATCTGTACAACGTAGAATATGACAACAATACCCAACAATCTACCCCAATTCAGATATTTTGTCAACAACTTTATCAACCTCACCATACGATGGTGATCGGAGGCATCGTGGCAACACCAGTAAACAGTCTATACAAAGTAAGGTAGCTTTTCAACGCCATCAAACATTAAGTATCACAATTACTGCATTGTCGGCGCCGCCAAAAACTATGTTGAGCATTGGTGTCCTAGTGATTTTACGAAACGAGTTTCAGAATTCTTGTGAAGGTTGCGAGGGTAATACTTGAATTCTTGCACGAGTTTTATATAAAATCAGTATGAGACACATGCGAGTGTAATAATTTCTTTAAAAAACATTATTTCCACAATTGTCAAAGCACGTCAACAATTTTCAGCTTTGACGTCATTCTGATCATAAAAATAGCGTTACCGTTATTATACCTAAAACGAATGGAATTTGTTATCAAATAAAAAGAAACAACAATATCGGTTTTCAAACATTTACTGCAATCAACACGAATGTCACTGACCCACTTTTACAAATATGTATACGTCATAGAACAAACCAGATGACGTCATTATTGAACGTGACGTCACCTATCCCTATTCTATGACGTCACCTAACAACGGGCGTGATAATGGCCCGTCGTCAAGAAATATGAGGGCATTATCAAATTACAGTGGCCCGCTCATTTTTGGTAACACGCGGGCGGTTTAATGATAATTCTATCCATTTTAGCTATAAGTCACAAAAAGATTCGGATGACGTCAACAATGACATCCAGATAATGTCAGTCCTTGAAGTGATATATGTACTAGTTCACATACGATTTTTATTAACTCGGTTCTTACCCTTAGGGGGCGGTCGGGTAGCCTAGTGGTTAAAGCGTTCGCTCGTCACGCCGAAGACCCGCGTCGATTCCCGACATGTACAATGTGTGAAGCCCATTTCTGGTGTTCCCCGCCGTGATATTGCTGGAATATTGCTAAAAGCGGCGTAAAACCATACTCACTCACTCACTCACTTACCCTAAGGGTAATACTAGCTTATGATATCAGGGGGCAGGGGGTGGTCACGACATTATACGATTCGCTGTGCACTGTAAGGCCCCGTGGTTGCTGGTTCGAATCCTAAATTAGTTGTGATCATCATTATTGTTTTGTCCCCCAAATATCTGTGCCCAAGTGTTTCAAAAGCGTGATTTGCATCAATTTAAATTTAAATAAAAAACACGCTGTGATATAAATACTGAAATACTGTTCAAGGTTGGTTGGTTGTTTTTTTTGTTTAACGCCGCACTCAGCAATATTACAGCTATACGACGGCGGTCTGTAAATAATCGAGTCTGGACCAGACAATCCAGTGATTGATATCATGAGCATCGATCCCCGCAATTGGGATCGATGACATGCATCAACCAAGTCAGCGAGCCTGACCACCCGATCCCGTTAGTGGCCTTTTACGACAAGCATAGTCACCTTTTACGGCAAGCATGGGTTACTGAAGACCTATTCTACCCCGGAATCTTCACGGGTCTACTTTTCAAGGCAGTGATACTCCAGCTGATACTTTCATTGTGAGGTTGGCAAGTACAGTTGGTTGGTTTGTTGGTTGGTTGAATCTGACCACCCGATCCCGTTAGTCGCCTCTTACGACAAGCATAGTCGCCTTTTACGGCAAGTACAGACAGACCATACCGCCTGATGCATTAGTCAGCCATGAGCATAATATTTGACATCACTCAGTCTGCATGGCGTTTTTCATTATGACGGGGGCGGTCGGGTAGCCTACTGGTTCAAGCGTTCTCTCGTCACGCCGAGGACCCAGGTTCGATTCCCGCCATGACTTGCTAACTCCGTGAATGTCGCCGATCTCGCTGTAAAGGCCCTCTATAGCAAAGAATCTCAAGGTACACAACACATGGACCTGTGTAGATAGTGCACGTGAACGCTGAGTCGGTCGAGACAGTTGTTCATCAACTCGTTTAACCAGTTCAATGATGACATGTCTCGGGAAACGATATCGCGAACTCAAATCAATATCATCTAAAACATCTAATGCCCGGCTTCTGTCCCTGAAAACACGTCCTCTGCTGATACTATGTATAAAATAATATACGTCAGAGGGTTGTTATGATATTTAAAACCCGCATCCCGAGGGAAAGGGTTTTAAATATCATAACAATCCGAGGGGATGTGTTTTATCTTACTTTTATAAACCTATCATGGTGTTGTAACCATCTCCCAGACGACCTTTCTTTTGTAGTAAGACCACTCAGCAGGTTTTACAATTGCTCCTCAGGTTTTACAATTGCTCCCAAGGTTTTACAATTGCAATTGTAAAACCTGGGGAGCAATTGTAAAACCTGTCGTGAAATCCCGATTGCTGGATGGCATTTGTAGTTTCTCTAAAATGCACTTGAAAAAACTTTCTAATAAAATTGTCAAGAACATAACGAAAACTTTATTTCGGCATGTTTACATTTAATTGAAGTTGAATGTGAGGGCAATTGATTTCCCATCAGCGTTAGAAACTGACTGGACCACGTTAACGGGATCTGTGGGTACCGAACAAGGTTCCGCGTCATCGTCAGAGATCCTCTCTTGTGAACAGTCAACGACACAATGCCATGTGGTACGACGCACGCGGTTCTTTCTGCACGTAGAGCCCTCTTCTGCACGTGCAGTCCGCGCAGCGGCCCGCGATAACAACTGTTATAAAGCGTGTCTCGTTATACCGCGCTTATTTGCGACCCGTATACCGCGTAAATATAAGCTCCAAAAATGACATAGATTAATGGATAGCGGTTTATAAGTTGGACAAACCATTCCATTACATAAACCGAGAAAAGAAACTTTAAACAACATTTATAAACATTTTTATCTTTCGAACATACTTTCCATGAACCTTAGGAAACGGGCGTAAAATATATGTTGCTGGCGTACGGATCTTGAAAAGGACATTCTAAAAACCAGTGAGGCTTATCAACACCTCTGTAGCCTTGTGGTACAGATACGAAGCTTGCGTGTTCGATCCTCGGGAATATAAAGAAAATATTTGTTATTTGATCTTACATTTCATTACATGTTACAATCTGAACGGAAGTTATATTAATAAAATACTCAGGACAGTATATAGAATCCCTGGGATATTATAACACATTATAGCTAAAATGGATAGAATTATCATTAAACCGCCCGCATGTTATCAGAAATGAGCGGGCCACTGTAACTTGATAATGCCCTCATATTGCTTGACGACGGGCCATTATCACGCCCGTTGTTATGTGACGTCATAGAATTGGGATAGGTGACGTCACGTTGAATATTGACGTCATCTGGTTTGTTCTATGACGTTTCCATATTTGTAAAAGTAGGTCAGTGAGATTCGTGTTGATTGCAGTAAATGTTTCAAAACCGATATTGTTGTTTCTTTTTATTTGATAACAAATTCCATCCATTATAGCTATAATAACGGTAACGCTATTTTTCAGGGCATTATCATTTGCAGAAGCCCTCGGTCATTTCAACTGCCCTCCTTCGTCAAGCAATGGAAGACCTCGGGCTTCTGCAAATGATAATGCCCTGAAAAATAGCGTTACCCTTATATTATACAGCAAATATGACTTGAATATCCTGTAAAATCCCTGGGACATTACAACGTCCCTGTTTATGAGATTTAACCCGACTGGAGAACAATAGGATGACGTCACCGGAGGTTTATAATTCTTTTTATAATTTCTAAAAGGAATGCATACGTCACCATGATGGTTTGAATTTGCGAGGTCGTAGCTACATTAGGAGAGCCCTAGGTCTGTCGTAGATTTAGGGTGATTTTACGACGTAGTGTAAACTAAGAGGTCTTTGTGAAACGGCCTTTACCCTCTGGATGCCGAGGGGTTTTTTCTGACGGCACATTTTCCTAAGATCGCAAAAGTGAAGGTTGTGCGAGAATTGCGTTCACGGGGCACTTGATCTACCTCTGGCTTTAAAATTAGACAGAGGTGGAGAATATTAGCGGTAGCGAGAACTGAGGTCTGATTTTAATTAGATTGTTTGTTGTTATAATTTTCATTGAAACAAACGGAAATAGTCAGAATTTCCGATAAATACCGTTGTCGTTGTGCATGATTTTGCGTCAGTCATGGCGTCACACAGGACGGTAACTTTGACAATTTCTGTTGAAAATATCAAAGCATTGCAATGCATCTATTTTAAATTCCCTAATTCTTCCTACGATTCTCTTCCCATGCATATTCTGAAAGTGATTAGCCAATATCTTGAACGAATAGACGAATGGATAGCTCAAAATAGGAGAAAATGCTACACTGTGTAAAATCTGTTTTTCTCGGACAACACTAAGAAGTGTCTTTTTTTAAAACCGGATAAATTTACACGATCCAAAAGGAAATTTAATATTCTCAACTTCTGCGTAATTTTATAGCCAGATCGAGGTATATCCGGTGCCACGTGAGCGCAATTCTCGAAACAACATTCACTTTTCCGATTCCGATTTTAGGAAAATGTGCGTCAGAAAACAAACTCGTTATCCAGAGGGTTTTAAAACAAAAAGCACGATCTCCCACTGTTCTAATGTGCAGCAATTACCTCGCTTTGCAGAGTTGCGCCCCTCTGTGGCGTCAGGATCCGCTGGTTGCGGGTTCGCATGCCAGTTTCACTTTGATTACGACCTTTGACATTTGCTCTTTCTACCAACATCAAACTGACTCGCCGTTCTGTCACTAAAACTGTTCACAGCTTCGTAAAAACCAAACTCACTCACTCGCATGTGCGTGCGTGTGCGTGCGTGTGTGCGTGTGTGTGACATACGGAGTTTACAAAAATAACTAATTTGACACTCGGTTGGTAGAATCATAATAATATCTCTATATTATAAAAACATGGTTTAATAATAACACTTGATACTTAATGGTGTGCGTTTAACGCCGCACTCAGCAATCTTATAGTCCAGCTACATGAGGGCAGTCTGCAAATAATCGAGTCTGGACCAGACAATCCAGGGATTGAAATCATGAGCATCAGTCTACGCAGTTGGGATGCGATGACATGCATCAACCAAGTCAGTGAGCCTGATCACCCGATCCCGTTAGTCGCCTCCACGGTCAGATCTTTAGAGACGTATCGCATCGGAGCAAAAGATCATCTTCCAAAATTATCGCTCTTCAGAAATACAATAACTCGTTTGAGCAGTGCGAATAAAAAAACGTCACAATATATGAGATAAAAAATATATACATTTATTTATTCAGCTAGCTGGTATACGTGATAGGTTTATTGACAAACTAAATCTATTTTACATGTGCCTCCTTTAGTCCAAGTGTAGTCCTGCACCATGACCGTGGAATATATTTATTTTATGAAAAAATAATAATCTAGAAATGCATACAAAAGCAAGTCTAGCCAGCTCCAGCTGCTAGCTCTATCAGCATAGGGAATTTTTTAAATATTTATAGAGTCAAGAAGGATATTGTGTAATATAAGATTTCAGAGACTAAATGTTAGTCTAGTCCAAGTGGTGTGGGTTGTGAAAACGTTGAAAGAATCACACATAAAATATTTTTTTACGAAGGGTTGAAATAACATAAGACCAAACCAGAGATCATATTAAAATATTCATTGTATAGACATGAACTGAATATGAAAATTTAAATTTTACCGTATTAATGTAATATAATTTTTACCGTTTTAATGGTTTCAACGGTAATAAAAATAATTATTATCAAATCTCAAGTACATTTTGTACTGAAGATAATATGAAAATGTAACTTAAAGCATCATAAGTAATGATGATAATGACAATCATTATCATGACTGTCATTAATATTACTTGAATGTAAATCGTTATTTCTAAACTATCTTCCTTCTTGTATACATTCCCTGCACCCACTGACATGCATGTGCATAGTTGCGATCCGGAAAATGTCGATACAACTTTTACATTTACCCATGAAAACAAACACTTGATACTAAATCGTTGCAATTATTTCAACCACGTGATTGTTTTGCTCTGCGACGAACATACCAAAACACAAATTATCCTCATTAGCTATTTCCTGTCTGTGCATTTGATAGTTCATTTATGAAAGGTCATGAGGTCATACAAAAACATGGCGGACGGAACTGAGTTGCGGAAATGGAACATTCGACTCTCACTCTGAATGAAAGGATTCGTTGTTCTGTAGAGTGAGCTTTGTACAAATCACCCCACCGGAACCAAACCTACAGCCATGAATGTTTCTTAGCTATCATTTAACCATGAAAGCGTGGAAAGGAGCGCTATTCGCGCTTCTTGTGATGGTTGTCGCTTCCATACTTTTTTTCGGATACTTTTGTTTTGATTCCAATTCGTGCGCTCTCACACACCAGAGCGTCACACCGGCGTATAGATCAGATCTTGATGCATTTCTAGCTGGAGCTTATAACAGACACACTTTCCGTGAAAAGGACGTTGTCCGAGATTTAGACGTCAATACCGAAGAGGATGTGTTTGTTTTCCTTCATATTCAGAAGACTGGTGGAACGACATTTGGTAAACATTTGGTGGATGATCTTGATGTGGACCCTCCGTGCTTCTGTTATAAGCGAAAAAAGAAGCATTGTGACTGTTATACGAAGAACAGGAAGATTTGGTTGTTCAGTCGCTTCTCCACGGGGTGGTCGTGCGGCCTTCACCCTGACTGGACAGAGCTGACCGCTTGCGTTGATGCAATGATGAATAAGAAAGAAAAAATGAAAAGAAGAAGAAGGTTACTTATTTTACTATTTTGTGTGTTTTAATTGATATTCTTTGGGAGGGACTTCCGTCGTATCCCCCTACCAAAAGTTGTGTATGCATTGCGTTTCATTCCTTTTAGTTTTAAATATTTTTGAGGGGGGATATGGCGGAAGTCTTACCATTCTATGGCCATAGGCAGAGACCATGTACCGATATATGGTCTCTGCCATAGGTCGAAACAGAAATGAAATTGGGGGATTACAGATCATTTTTTAGACGTCACTCTGTAATATTTGTTAATTGTGTGTTTACCTAAACACTGCGAAATGATGTGTAAGTAATGTTGAATCGTCATTGTCTCATGGTACTCAGTGATAGAAACTAACATATTTAGTCCACTAGTCCTTATAATGATAACATATAGCAAAACACTTAAAAATGGCAAATTTCTACTAGCCCTTATGATACCTTAGCTATTGGGCAGTTTGGCAAGAACCACAGGACTAGTGCCAATTTCTAACGCTGGGTACTACAGATATGTATCGCAGTTATGTTTCTGTATACACAAATGTACCCTTGCCAAAATCAGAATACAGATATGTACCGGGTGCACAAAAAGGCAGACGGCTCCATATTCCTCAACCTGAAACCAAAACGGGGACCCGTGAAGATTCCGGGGTAGAATAGGTCTTCAGCAACCCATACTTGCCGTAAAAGGTGACTATGCTTGTCATAAAAGGCGACTAACGGGATCGGGTGGTCAGGCTCGCTGACTTGGTTGATGCATGTCATCAATCCCAATTGCGTGGGTCGATGCTCAAGATATTAATCACTGGATTGTCTGGTCCAGACTCGATTATTTACAGACCACCGTCATATAGCTGGAATATTGCTGAGTGCGGCGTTAAACAACAAACCAACCAACCAAAACGGGATCGTGTTGTACGTCTGGTTCGCCAGATGACGAGTACATGCTGGATATTGCTGTGCATCGTCGAATATTAGAGTAATGTAAGTACATCACTGTGTTTGCTCGTTTTTGTTTAGCAGACTGCATCTTATAAAACAAAATGACAGTTCTGATCCATTTATGGTAAGGAAATACCAAGAGAAAAATATGCAAGGCGTCCTGCCATTTTGTCACGATTTGGCATTTGGCGGGATGTGTTGTATGCGGAAGTGTTCAAGGAACCGAATTGATTAACACTGCACTCAGCAATTTTTGCAGCTATATGACGGTGGTCTGTAAAAACCAGACCAGACAATTCAGTGATTTACATCATGAGCATCGATTCACCCAATTGGGATCAATTACATACATAAAAAAAGTCAGCGAGCCTGACCACCCGATCCTGTTAGTGGCCTCTTACGACAAGCGTAGTCGCCTTTTATGGCAAACATGGGTTGCTGAAGACCTATTCTACCCCGGATCTTCACGGGTCCAAAAAAAGTTGATAATACCATAGTTGATAGGCAGTTATATTCCCCTGCTACACTGCAGTGGTTTCTGTAAAAATATGTGTCATAGATTAGAAAGGGTTAAATTTTGAGCTTAATACAGGGCACTTGTAGATACCTATTAACATGATTAGGACTTCACAGTATTGTAATAAGCTTTTCAAATGATACTTATTGGAATATTTGTACTGTGTATTCTGGATATAGACAAATGCAAGAATTTCGTTTATATTTGCATCGTTTAACCTAAAATTCAATTACAAATGATTTTTCCCTTTAATTTTATTGCCAAAATGGCGAAAAAACAGAAGGGATTTTTCTCTCACGTTGTTAGATCTATCTCCCCTGTATTCAGGACTACAGAATAGTGGCCACTGACAATGCAGAGCAATATTTCCTTTCATATGTAGGAAATAGGGTCTGCATATACAATCAGTGTCAATCACTGTCAAACATTTTAGCTCCCAATATATCGCAATACATGTTTTTGCCAATACACAGCCCTACTCCTTACAGATAAGTCGAGAAGTTGGTCAGGGGCTCTTAATACTGCAAATACAGCACTTGTTGAACATGTTGAAAGGGATGAGATATTGTTTCAAGATGTGAAAGTCTGTCAGAGCTGAATAGGGCAGTAAATTATTAAATCCTCCTCAAATCATCCTGAAGAGTTTCTCCTGGTTACATTCTCCGTGAAGAGTTTCCCCTGGTTACATTCTCCGTGAAGAGTTTCCCCTGGTTACATTCTCCGTGGAGAGTTTCTCCTGGTTACATTCTCCGTGAAGCGTTTCCCCTGGTTACATTCTCCGTGAAGAGTTTCCCCTGGTTACATTCTTCGTGAAAAGTATCCCCTGGTTACATTCTCCGTGAAGTGTTTCCCCTGGTTACATTCTCCGTGAAGACTTTCCCCTGGTTACATTCTCCGTGGAGAGTTTCCCCTGGTTACATTCTCCATGAAGAGTTTCCCCTGGTTACATTCTCCATGAAGAGTTTCCCCTGGTTACATTCTCCTTGAAGAGTCAGTTTGTATCCAACCCATAAACAAAAGAAAATCTGAAAGAACATGTAATAACAATATTGTTTCAAACATACTTTCCACAAACCTAAGAAAATGAATGTAAAATATATCTGGCGTACATGGACTTGAAATAGAGAGTCATCATAGCATTGTGGTTGATCAGTGTGTTTGTAGCCATGCTTCACTCACTAGGTCACAGATGCAGGAGGCGAGTTTGATCCACTGAAATATAAAGAAGACATTTGTCGGTTGATTTTACATCATTCCGCACATTTCCTTATGTAGATTGTGTCCAACATATTCCAGTGTTAAATACCTCCAGCAAGGGACATATTATAGATTATCCCTGGGACAGGAATGTTATTGAGAAATTCCCAGCTGGCAGGTTCTCCTACTAGATGAAGGCCCTGTAGAAACAACAGGACGACATTGCTTATACCGTATTCGACAGAATAAGCGCCCAGGGCGCTCTCAAAATTAGAAATAGGGGGCTCTTATTAGAATATTATTTTGGTGAAAAAAAAAACAGAGTTGAAAGATCGGAAATTTCGTCGTTTATGCTGACAATCTGAAATGTTTATAGACGACAGGTATGTTTTTCCAGAATTGAATTGCTCATAATTAAGGGTGCATCTAACACTCGAGTGCAGAACGCCATCCTCTAGCTGGAATATTGCTGAGAGGCGATAAACAACAAAGAAACATGCTTTAAGGTTCTTGGTAATTCGTTCAAAAGAGCTGAAAAAAGAAGCTATTTTCTGGTCGGGCTCTGTGACTCGGCTGATGGATTGACATTAAGTGAATAAAACAAGGACTGGTCGCCTTGGAGTCCGGACACTGTGTCTGAGTGGGGTATCCATGTTAAACTGTGATATGGAATCTCAGTGAGCTAGCAGTAGCACTATAAAATGAGCATTACCGTATTTGACGTAACAAGCGCCCAGGGCGCTCTCAAAATTAGAAATAGGGGGCTCTTATTAGAATATTATTTTGGTGAAAAAAAAACAGAGTTGAAAGATAAATTTCGTGGTTTATGCTTACAGTCTGAAATGTTTATATACGACAGATATATTTTTCCAGAATTTAATTGCCCATAATTAAGGGTGCATCTAACACTCGAGTGCTTTTTATACACAAATAAGTCTTGTGTGCATTGATCAATCGGAAGGGGTGCTAATTGGGATTGTTCACTAGCCAATATATTAGCAAATATCGCCGTGGGTGCTTATTAGAGCGGGACGCTTATTACGTCGAATATGGTAGTCTTGACTAGTAGAAGCAGCAACAGACACACAGATACACATACACATGCATGCACATAATTATATTAGTGCAATCATCTTGAATGTGACTTTGAACCCCATTTCACCACACCTCAAACATTCAGTTAGGCAGGAAAATGAGTCATTTCCCTTGGTGAATAAGATTCTATTCAGATCAAACACAGACTAATGGACACATGATAGAAGCTTTAAGTTAACACATCTCCTCAAAGTTTATATTTTTAGCAAGTAGCCATATGGCTACAAGTATTTTTTCCAGGTAGCCAGTGGTAAAATTAAGAAGTCAAGCCAATAGTGTAGGTAGCCAAAAGGTATTTGAAATTATCTTTGATCAAATAACTATTATTGTATATTAGTGGAAACTGTACTTGAGTTTTATTATTTGTGACTCGAACAATGATGCAATATATGTTAGACGGTTATATAGGTATATCCTTGCTTATCCAATAAACTATCAACTAAATTAAAATACTATTATATAAATATTTATGTATTTCGGTTCTTTGCTGACTTTAGGAGAATTTTTTGCGAGTAGAAGTAGTAGCAGACATGTTTATTTTTGAGTCTATGTGTAGCAATAGAATTTAGTCGCCACAAGATATTTATTACGGTAGTCATTTGGCTACCTCTGTACACAAATTGAAATTTAGGTCGCATTGGCGACTGTTTTAGGCACAACTTTGAGGCCTGACCATGGAATAAGCATATGATAGGCAGTAGACTGCATTATTTCCTCTCATTGAACAAATAACTAAATTTGAACATTTATAACAGAGCATCCCTAAAATTTCAAACCCAAGCGATTGCTGCGTATACATATATAATGTGCACTCCGCATCTTTAGCTGCTGCAAAGTTCATCAATCGCTTCCCCTTCATCATCTGCTCACAACAGCTGTTAAAAAGATGAAGTGTCCTCCCTCATCAGTTGAGCCAGGTGGTCTTTTGAAGGCGTTCCAAGTGTCATGATAACATTTCAGATTAAGGCATTTAAAGCTTTTGGGGATATCTTGTTTCAAAATTATTTGAGAAACATCACTAATTTTTATACTTAAGACTTGTTGTAGGACCATGTGTCCCATGAGTCAAATGGGTCTCTTGTAACCATAATAACATGCGTAACAGATTTAAGAAAACGTGTATATTTGTTTGCAATTTCGTGACAGTTTTAGTGAAGTGAAGTTGATTTTAATGTCATTTCAGTACTGAAATATATTTCTCAAATCATTGTCATCTAAGCAATCTCAGTTATGTCTCAAAATAGTTCAAGACC